TTAATGAACTATTTCAATCTTCTGGTGAAACACTACCTACACTCACTCACTGAGGCTAAGAAATTTAGAACACAGCTACCTGGCCAACCAACCTTAAGAGATTACTATTTGTGCCCATTCCAAAGAAAGGTGACCCACCAGAGTATGGAAATGATCAATGTCATGAATATCACATGCAAGTACAATTCTTGCTGAAGAGCATCCAATGATATTGGAGCAGTCCATTGACATGGAACTGCCAGAACTATGGCTAACATTAAGAAGAATATGGATTCTAGAACACTTCATTGTGCTGATGCTGAACCTGGACCAAGAGACATTCGAACCGAAGGAGGAAATGCTGAATAGTTTAAAAGCAGGAAAGGTGTGTGTCAGAATTGTATCCTTTCACCATACTTCTGCAATCTGTATGCTGAGTAAATAATCTGAGAAGCTGGACTATGTGAAGAGAAACTTGGCATTGGTGTTGGAGGAAGGCTTATTAAGCCAAGATTTATTTCTCTTACATGTGCTATCAAATGCAATAAATGTGGGCTAAGCACTGGGCTTCCAGTCATGAAGCTGGCTGTTCAAACCCACCCGTTGCTCCTTGGGAAAAAGATGAGGCTGTCTGCTCCCAAGGTTTGTAGCTTCAGAAATCCACAAGAACAGTTCTACTCTGTCCTATATGGCCAACATGAGTCAGAATGGACTCATCACTGTCATGGGATCGATCCCAGTGCATAGCAACCCTATACAGGGGGTCTGAGGCTGTAAATCTTTATGGGAGCCTGTATTAGTCTAGGTACTTTGGAGAAACAAATCCACAGCAACTCATGTATAAGAGAGAGTTTTATGTAAAGAAAATGTGCATCACGAAAACATCCCAACCCAATGCTGCCCAAGCCCACAAGTCCAACATTAACCCATTAACCCAACACCAGTCCACAAAGTCCTCCACCTCACAAAACAGAGGCAATGATGCCGGCTGCAGGAGGAAAGCTGAGTCAGTGAATGAACAAGCATCTCAGCACTAGCAGGGGTCTCCACACGGCTGCTCCAGCACCCAGGGCTGCATCGGGATAGGTCCATGTAGCTTCTCCTTGGGGATGTCTTGTAGGAAGTCAATCTTGCAAGCTGAAGCAGGGAACTGCTAAGGCAGCTGCACCCCGGTGCAACCATCACAAAACAAGAGACCCGAGAACTAGAAAGGCGAGGCTCACCACCCATTTATCCCCCCGCCTTTCAATTAGCCCCACATGTGATTATTGGCCAGGCTGGCACAATTAACTAACTCAAGAGCGATAGCCTCGCTTCCTTCCTTGGCGCTGAGGATGGTTTTGAACCACCAACTTTGTGCTTGGCAGTTCAGTGCTTACTTAAGAGCACCGCCAGCACTCATGATTTGATGGCAGTTGGTACAAAACTCTACAGTCTTGTCTACTATACTCAACCATGCTACTTTCCAATAGGCTACTCCTCCTTTCGTTATTCATGAGAGGCAAAGCAAACCGGCACAGTGATACCTCCGTTGTCAAATGGCTCCGAGCTGGAACTTTCCACTACTTGAACAGCAAAGTTTACAAAGAATCTGCTCTGTGTTTGGAACTTTGCTTGACAGTCAAATTGAAAATCCGACTTGAAAAAAACGTGTACAGGCCAAGAATGACTCACTCGTCAGGTCTTGCTGTGGACACGACGGGTGGGGGGTGTGTGTGAGACGCTTCAGTCTAAGCGCCACTCTGGCTCAGACAACATCTAGTGCCTGTGGTCGTGTGTTAAAACATTCATCATTGTGCTTGCTTTTTTGGGGGAGGAGAGGCCTTTATTTGTGTAAAATATCATAACCCTGGCTCCAAAGTTAGTAATACCAGCAGTAAAGCCAGCTTTACTAAGAGGAAAGTGGAAAACCAGGAAATAGTGATACTATTAGCATGATTCAAGGGTCTCAGGAGCAGAAGAGATCGTTTTTATTTGATGAACTCCCTACTCCTTAATTGTCATCTAATGCTTACATGTGCAAAGGTCAACTCCTTAATGTAATCTTTTCTGATACCCTCAGGTCTATTATATAATACCTTGTAGCGAGGTATTATAGCTACTTGGCTTTGAATGCTTGATTGCCAGGTTTGTCTGGGGTTCCTTCCATTCCTCCTGAGAATCATAGGGGGTCACTATTGTTAACCCCATTGTATAATGGAGCTCTTGTGGCAGCGTGGAGACACTTTGGGCCGCGAGCTCCAAGGTCTGCAGTTCTGGAAACCACCAGGCTGCCTTTCGAGAAAAAGGTAGGGCTTTCTACTCCCAGGAACAGTTACCTTCTGGGAAACTTACAGGGTCAGTTCTGCCCTGCCATAGGGTCACCATGAGTCCCCAGAGACTCGATGACGAGTTGGTTTATGGATGAAGAAACCGAGACTTAGAGAATGCCAAGGTTCCAGCTCTTAAATAACACATAACATATAAAGATTTGAATTCACATCAGATTCAGAGAGTACTCTTAACAGAGGCCACCCAAGAAATGGAGCTAAACTGGCTGGGTTTGAATCATGTTGGGCCAATTATTAACCGAGTGACCTTAGACAAATTATCGTGCCTCAATTTCATCATCTCTAAAATGGAGATAGCAATAGTTGACTCATGGGCTGCGATGGATAGGTAGGTAGATTAGGGATAAAAGGGGTGGTCTCCACTGAATGCCAAGCTAAATGGAAATGAGCTGGCCATGCCACCACGATCAGGGGCTTGAAAGGAATCAGGCACACGTTAGACACCTATGTGGCAGATCCAAAGCTGGACATGCACAGACCAAGGTCACGTGGGCACAGGTGAAGGTCAACGGGGGCACACACACTAGGTGCTCATGACATCACATCACAGGTGCACCAGGTGACAGGATAGCATAGACTGAGGGCAAGCGAGCTCTCTCTTTCAGGGCAGAGGGGCGGGATCTCTTCCTCATGGCACCCTCTCAGGACTGGCACTTGCTCTCAGCTTCCTCTATCGGTTCACCGCTCCTCTTCTGATTCGGCAGACAACACTTCCCAGCCATTTTCCACGTGTTCCTCGGAAGCAACCATTTTTGGTTGCCAACTTTCCCACGGTTCCCGCCACGAGGCCTTGCACGCTTTCCAGAGATAGCGTACTACCTGAAACTTCCCTTTCCCTCGTAAAAGTTACTCGGATGGCAAAGGTACTTGTGCCGCAGGAATTCTCTCATCGTTGAGAAGAACGGAGGAAATCCATGCCAGAAACCTAGCATGAGGAGGATGAAATGACTTCGTACTTACAAAGTGTTTCGAAAAGTACTTGGCTCACAATAAGTATTGAGTTTTACATGCACACCCTACAAACTCCAACCCTTTGAGAATTTTCACGCTGAACTGTGAGCTCTTCTAGGATAGGAAGCATGGCTGGCACCTAGTAGGCCCTCAACAAACAGTTCTTGTCTAAATGGCATTATCTAGCAGGCGGCTGAAATTCCATCTCTGAGCTCTGGGGAAGGGAGGTTGATGGAAAAACAGATGTGAGTCCCACAGTTGGTAAGACTGCCAAGGCAGAGGGTGGAGCCAAAGAAAGGACGGGCCAGATCAATGGCAGGAGGTGGAAGAGTAATATTGTGATAAAAGAGCTGAAGGGGGCCATGAAAGGAGGGAATTCATGGACGGAATTGGGTCCAGAGGAAAGGCTGTCATAAAGTGGAAGATGAAAAATGTGTGGTTAGCAAGCAGCTGACTGGGGCTAATTCTTGTTTTGATGTTGTTTTCAAGTCTCGAAGGAAGGAAATGACAGTGATTGTATAATCGTTTCCAGTGTGGTAGTGAGGAGAGGTATGGACCATTTAAGGATCCACGGAGAAGGGAAGAACTGGGTAGCCAGGAAAAGTCGGGGAGTTAACGCTTCAGGAAATTCAAATGCAACGCTCATTTTGGCCATTCAGTATTTCATGTATGCTGCTGGAGCAGCACTGGAATTTTCTGTCAAACAGACAAAATGATCAGCACCACGCTTCGGTCTGAAACAGCATCCTCCGGACGCTGGATTCGCAACAGCGTTCTACCACCCCTGGCATGGAACAACCGGTTTCCCAAGTTGTTCCAGACAGAATTCTGGTTTTTACCAACCGCCTGGGATTCCTACTCTGCCTTTAAATGAGGCGAGGAAAGCACATTAGTATCAGCATTTGAGGCATTGTATTATTAGTCGTAAGCAGGCATCTCTCGTGTGTGTGTGTGTGTGTGTGTGTGTGTGTATGTATGTTTGTTTTTGAGGAACAAAACCTCTAGGTGGTCAAAAGAGCCCACAGGAAATAGATGCTTTTTAAACAGGGTTTTCCATACTACGTGGTTCTCCACCTCCCTCACCCCGCGACCCTTGCATACAGGTCCTCATGTGGTGGTGACCCCAACCATCACATTATTTTCGTTGCTACTTCATCACTGTCACTTTGCTACTGTGATGAATCGGGCGACCCCTGTGAAAGGGCCATTTTACCCCAAAGGGGTCGCGACCCACAGGTTGAGAACCGCTGCAAGCTCCGCTGTGGGGCTTCGGTGTTTCCATTTGTAATGTAAGGAAATACCAGGATGTGTGTGCTCTATCTTCTTCCAGCGTCTTCCTTCGAGGAACGAAGTCGTCAACTCAGTCTTTGGTCGTGAGGATAAAGGGAGCGGGTAGTCCAGCCTGGAAGTCGAGCCTCCGGAAGGGCTCCGCCGCTGCCCAGCGCCCAGTC